ATAGTATCAAGTTGCAAATCCAATCTATGCTGGTTATATCTTGCTTTACAGGTCCTAAGCTTGCTATACACTCCATAATTAAATGCATACTCATAAGCTAAAGCCTTTATCTTTGCTTTTGAAGCTTTACACAAGAGGCATTTCCATTTTGGGCAAAAAGTTCACAATGTCATTTTCATAAAGATGAACTTTTGTAACTTTGTCAATATTGAGCATTGAACATGTACCCTTGATGCATACAAACTCCACAGCTCTCAAGAAATGTGTACCAACTCTTATCAGCCCTAAAGCCAGCTAGTACAAGTATATGGGATTGGTCACTTCACTTTACTTCAAATGCAAGAAAAGTTGCAAAAAGGTCCAAGGCTTGCACAGCTAGTGAAGAGCTAACTTTGTATCACTTCTATACAAATATACAAACTTGTTACAAGGCATAGGACGTTTGGATTGAACTTGAAACTCTCTAAAACTCAAAAACACCAAAATTATGTCCAAACATAGTCTTCTGCAAAATCACAGCCAACCCTCATTTGGCTTGTGCGTTTTGTGTTTAATCACTTCAAACATCTCATACACTTGATAACTAATCAATCCAAGCCATCATCCTGGTTCTGTAACCCCTGTTTCAGCATCCACCATTTTCACTTTGGAAGCTTGCAGTTGGACTTGGTAAGAGAGTTCCAGCCATCCTCAAAGCAAGATAAGCATTGGAATAGCTTGAGGGAAGTTCAATGAAGCTCAAACAGTCATCAGGCCTCCGTTAAAGTCCCTACATTTCCCTACTCGAATCCAGCTGAAGGAGGTATTTTTTCAAACTCTATCTCTTTGAATATGCAACCTCAAGCCACGATTTGTGAAGAAAAAATGTAGTCCATATCATAACGAAGTTGTACATATCTTTACTTTTCATTTATATTAACTGTGCTGAGAGAATTTGAAGATTGAAAACTCTGAAAAAGTTAGGTCACGAATTAGGGATTCAAAAATTCTCTTTGATCTTTAAGAGTTAGGTTGCATAACTTATATGGTTGGAATCGTGAGCTCAAATGCCACATTTTTCATGTTATGAGTTTTTGTTTTTATGCAAGCATAAGCAAGTTACAGGTTTGAATGGAAAACGCGCGCAGGGAAGCTGAACCAAGGACAAGGATGAAGTTCTGGGCTTTTTGGCGCCAGGCCCTTTTTGTTTTTGCTATTTGCATCCCTTGACTAGCTATTGCACCCCCTGGCTAATTTTTTTATATTTTTGCATTTTTCTTCATATTTTTTTATTCAATACTTTTATTTATTTTTCTTAATGATAAAAAATACCAAAAAATGATTTATTTATTTTCACACTTTTTTTTTAATTTTTTTAAATTATTTTCTCACATGAAAAATAGTTTATTTTGATAAATAGAACTTATTTTCTTAAATAACTTGTAAATATAATAAAAAATACTTAATATTTTTATTATATTATTTATACTCATAAATACTTATTTTCTATACATATTTAATTTTTAATATTTAAACATAATATTATTTATTATTTTATATAAAAAATATACAAGATGATAATATGAAACATTATTTTCTTTGAATAAAAATTAGGGTTTCATCCCTTTCAAAAAAAGAATTATTTATTTTTCTTTATTTTTTAGGGTTTAAATTAAATCATTTTTTCTCATACAAAAAACAAAACACAACATTTTTTTAACATAAACATTGCATTTCATTTTAAATATTTATTTAATTCGCGCAATATTCAATTTGGTTGTAATAATATATTTAGGTTTATATTTGTGCAAAATCCCCATTCAAACTTGTATCCCCCTCCCATAATAATTGTTGTAATAGCTTAGTTTATTTTACGCAATTTATCGCTTTATATACTATGCTTAGTAATTAGGGTTTGCATGACAAGAACAAAAAATAAAACAAATAGAAAAAACCTAAATGCAAGACAAAAGCATGAAAATGACACACTTTGCACACAAGCACCCCTAGGGTTTCTCCCACTTGGTTGCCTAAAATAAAATGGCCATGTTACGCATGCGAAGTATCTTGGCAAAACAAAACAAATATAAGATCATAGTCCCTCGATGACGCTATTCAAAGTTGCCTAAACAAAATCATCTTGGTCCCTCAAAAATACTAAGATACTTGGAAACATTGCTATCATGGTCATACGATGACCCACGCCCGTCCTGTTAACATCCAAAGATAGGGTTGCTTACCAAATCAATGGTAAGTCAACAATGTCAAAGGAATAGAAATGCATAAGAAAGACATTTGAGTAGGTAGATAGCTTCTAAGTTACTTGCTCCATTTCAAACAATCCTTGCTATTTTCAAAAACAAACACACACATTTCAAAACATCTTTCAATACATTGAAAACATTTTTAAAAGACAAACATCTTTGTATACATTCTTACGAACGAGAATCATTACAAAGATTGCCTAAACGAATGGCCTCTTTTCAAAATACTTTCAAAATCACACCAAACACCATTTCAAACAAAGTAAAGCAAGTGATCTAAGCAACTAACTAAGAGCCCATGGAAAACCATGGATGAAAAGGGTGCTAGCACCTTCCCTTTTCATAATCTACCCCCCGAACTCAAGAAAACATCTCAAAGGTCTTTCCTGTGCTTTTTTACCTTTCCTTTTGGATAAAAGAAAAGTCGGTGGCGACTCTTGCTAACCGCGACATTTGCGATAAAACACAAAACCTCAAGTCAGTTCTCCCATCGTATCACAGTTAGCTTCAGAGAAGTTCAATTAGCTAATTGAATGGAGCTTTTGGTGTTTTAGAGTGAGAATGCAAGAAATCATAAATTCAAATTCAGAGTTCGTGTAGGATCTAAACAAGGGTGAATTAGCTATCAAAAGCTTTCGAAAATGAGTGTAATAGAGCCTGTATTTATAGGAGAAGCGAATGGAATCAAGAGGAGGGGTGAATGATGCAATTTACCTTGAGTTCGTGCGCACTTGTGATCATGAAGAAAGTGTGATCACATGTGCATCAAAACTCAATCAAATGATGTGTTTTACCATTCTAAATGATCCAAACATATTTTCTAATCATGTTTAAGTGGAAAACGCGTAGAAATTTGGTGATTAGAAGCCAAATTATGAATTTTGTAATCTGACTTGAAGTGAAACTTCAGTTTCAAGGTACCAATTTGAATCAATGGTAATCATAGCTCAAAGGGTCTTAAGGCATGGTTCTTGAAGAATTTAAAAGATAAGGTAACAATCTTTGAAATGTGCCAAGAATGAGATCAGATGGATGTTTGAGCCAAAAGTTATGATAAGTCAAAGTTGAGAAAAAGATGTTGGCTTTTCGTACTTAGAAAAATTCTAAGTTTTTCTTTAAAAGTGACATATAATGTTTTGAGCTAAAACAAGGACTTCCTCTAAAATTTAGATTTGATCTTTTATGCTAGCTTGAATTATACTTCCCAAAGAGCATTTTAAAACTTGAATAACTCAAAAATACCAATTATTGAAAAAGTTATGGCCTTGTAAAATTGGTGAAAATGCATGAGGTGAGCTATAATCTTTTGAGTTCATAGTTACACTCATTTTAAAGCTTTGCAAATAAAAGAAGAGTTGAAGTTCACATCCTTAAGATCATTATGGAAAAAGAATGGTGTGATCGGTGGGAACGAGAACTGACTGTTTTAGAATGCTGGTTCGCGTTTGCGTTTGTTTTCGTAAAATGTCGCGGTAAGCAAGAGTCGCCACCGTCTTTTATTATATCCAACAAGGAAAGGACAAAAGCACAGAAAAATTCCTTTTCGAGATGTTTCTCGGGTTCGAGAGGTAGATTATAGAAAGGGAAGGTGTTAGCACCCTTTCTATCCGTGGTTATCCACGGGCTCTTAGGTACTTGCTCACTGTGTTTTCAAAAGTTTGCTTTTTCTTTGTGTTTGTGGGTTTTGAAAAGAGTTTTGTTTTTGAAGAGAGTGTAAGTGCGAAAAGTTTTTTTTTGTTTTTAAAAGGAGCAAGTACTTAAGAACCTCTACCTACTCAAAAAGGAATTAAACTGTGCAAATGTCCTTTAGACAGTGCTATCCCACTATTAAGGAGTAGGTAGCACCGTCATTGGAGTTTTAAGGGTTAATTCGATTTAAGGGGCGTGTGGTCACTAAAGCAATGTTAGGACGCTTTAGCGGTAACCCTAATGTCTTAGATCTTTTTATCCGAGGCAACCGTTTCGAGGCAACTTATGATCACTACAAGAAAATTGGCAGATTGCGACAGGTATTTTTGTAGATTACGACGGTTAAAACCGTCGCAATTTGCTTTCCACGACGGTTGCTTTACCGTCGCAGAAGTGTGTGTCCCCAACCTATTTCGCGACGGTTACAAAAACTGTCGTTCAAGTTTACGACGGGTTGATACCGTCGTGACTATCTTTTGAGTTTCTTTTAATTATTGATGGCGACGGTTCGATACTGTCGTGAATATCTTTTGAAATTGATTAAATTGTTTAATTAGTTTCTCACTTTTGATATTGAGATCTTGTATAGTTGAACCCTTTTGTTGGGGAAGCATGGGGTGAGTTCTATATGTCAATGTCTAACATCTACACAACATTGATACATGTAGTTATATTCAATTATTTATAATTCTAGAAAATATTGACGTGTTTATAACTGCATAACCTTTATGACCTACATTTTTCTTGGTTCAATTCAAGCAGTCCGAAAAATATGCAGTGTGAGAGTGTTATAAACTCAATCAGCTAGCTCTCAAGAAACACCAATTTGACAAATGATTGTGCAAAATGAAAAGAGGAAAGGATATTGCCAACAATGCCATCTATAAACTGTCACTCAAAAAACTTAACCACAGGATACACCAGCAATAACACAAAATATACAGCCCAAAGTGTTGAGACTAATGCACCTTACATAAAATATGGTGAATGATCTAAGAAACACAGTAACATGTTTTTGAGACTTCGTTTACAAATCTCCATATTCATATGCACTCACTCAACAGTCAACTACAAATTGTATGAGCAGCTTCCATCGTCACTTCTGACCGTTGGATCATAGTTTTCTGCATAAGGGTCGGCGTAACCTTCCTGTACAGGAAAAGCAACTTGCTGAGCTCCTTGTCCTGCATCCAAATAATAAGACCATAACATTTATTTAGTCATGTTTTGTTCAAAACACGATCTCAGACAAAAATCCGTAAGCAATTTTCACATTAAGGGCTTTAGGATCAAAGGTCTAACCGTAGAAGTTTCCAGTCTTGATAGCATCTTCATTCGCGTCTCCAAGAGCTGCCTCGCCGAGGTATTTGTCAGCTAACTGAACCCTCTTCACATTCTCTTGTTCTTGAACCAACATATTTCCATACTCTAGTAACTTCTCAATAGTCATCTTAGGCTGCTCAAAAGTTGGTGGTCCATCCTTTGAATTCACAAGCCTTTTTCCAATATGCTCCACACCAACACCAGAAATCCATTTCCTCACTTCGTCATCATACACCCTAGCCCTCAAGGCACCAAAAAAGTCTACACAAACACGCATCAAATAAGTTAATCCGAACAAACCCTGAATAACTAGAAACATAGATTGAGCCATGGCTTACCGATTGACTGTCCAGGGAATGTGTCGACAATCTTGACAATGCCATCCTTAGGGACACCATCTGACCTGAAAATACCTTGACAGACACCAATCCTATCCTCGCGAGTAGGCGCCCAGTAGAATTTTTCCATACGTCCATCACGTATTAAAGGAGCATACAATGTAGAGAAGTCATTGCCAGTTACGACAATAGGGACGCGAGGATTTTCTTCCTTGTTGTACATACCCGGAAGTTGAACATTGGTAGGGTTGTCAGCAATGTTCATGAGGGTTGCATTTACCATCTGGTTGTTGACTGTGTATTGAGTAGTTCCACCAAGTCTACCAGCTCCTGCATCAAGATCATTGATGAAAAGACAACACATCTTTCCTTTTTTGATAATGTCGGCTGCCTCGCGGTACCTTTGCCTAATCAACTTTGCAGGCTCTCCAGCATTTTCACTTTCTAATTCTCCGGCACTCATCATTATAGGGCTGAATTCCAAGAAAGTAGATCAAAGAGTACGGGAGATAAGCCGTCGTAGAAACTTGGACGCGAATAAAGTAACACTTCAACAAATAAAAAACTATCAAAACAAAAAACAAAACCACAAAAGAAAATATTAAAAGGATCATCATATAACTATAAGACATAGTGTATTTAATATAGAAAAACATCCATTTTAGTACCCAGAACACACAACCCCAACATAAAACATATTCATAAACAACCATTAAAGAAAGTATGTGTTCAGAACCATTGATGCAGAAATGTTATAATTTGTGTCATCATTTGATAAATTTCATTTTCCTGCTCCAAGTTCGTTCGCCACTCGCACCCTATAATATAATTTGTGTCATCATTTGATAAATTTCACTAGAATAAATTATGTTAAACATTTAATTTTTCACTCTTCGCTAGTAGAATACCTTACACGCCATCAACCAATCACATATGGATAATCCACTATGCTTCAGTATTGTTGTTACTCTAAGAAAATATCAATCTTAAATGTTTTTTTTTCAAACTAAAAAATTATTAATTTTAATATAAAGTGAATGTTTTCGATTAAAGAGATATATACGTACAGTTGAAAAGTGTTAAATATTAATAATTTATGAAATATTTAAAAAGGATAATGGTAGAAAAAATTTAGTGTTTTCTCCATTTTCTTCTCATACGAGAGGTGAAATGAAGAATCAATTCTGTTCTATAATTTTACTTCAATTTCGATGCAAATGATATTGTAAAAATAGCATACCCGGTACCGGCAAAGAAGGCAAATGGAATCAATTCCAATTCATTGATAGTCATACTGCAAAACCAATTCCAATACTGTAATAACTAATAAATATAAAACTTGTAAATCTCAAATACTTGTTACTCACTAATAACTTACCATACAGACAATGCATCAACAACAACTGTTGCATTTTCCAACTGACCTGTCATAAGCAGCAGTATCCTGTAATACCAATTCTCTGATGGCGCTCTCTGATGGAGCTTTCTTTAAATCAACTCATTATATTATTTGTTAACACAATTGACATTGTTCACATATCCTCCACACTATTTTTTTAATTCACGTTTTGCTTCTAGTGTCCCAACCATCAATCACATACACCTATTCTCATTCACCAATTTCTTAACAAGTTTCCACTTTTTACACTACAACTAACACTCTCACACTAAATCTTGTACATAGTATACACATCCATTTCACATTTATATCACTACAAATATCTATCGATTACACAATTTATTCCACATACAATTTAACAAAAATCCAACAATAAGTCATTCTTTATTTCTGATAAATCAAGTGGTATTTGATAAAATCATTCTACCTATCATCCACCATTTTTTATCATAACAAATCACAACAATAACAGCCCATAAACCCAAACATAAACTCTATTTTCACCATAAGCCAAACTTGTCAAAACAAATCACCATTAATTCATACAACCTGTCAAAAACCATAATACAATATCATAACACATAAATATAATCCAAGTTTCTATATGCAAAAGAAAGGATATTGAAGTAGAAACCAAAAGCTTGTTCGCCAGAATGATACCTCGAGACCGACACATACAGATTCGAATCCACGCCATACATAATGTCACCACCGACTAGCCACAGTGCATAACTGGTCACTGTCACCAACCACAATGGTGCCCTTGTTGGGTCATAGCCACATCTCCGCAAACATAGAGACCCTCTCTGCATCAGCCACCTCCGTATGACCCACACAACCACAACGCACACTGTCTCTCTCCACATAGCATACACAGCCGATGTGAGGTCCCTCTGCTGCTCAACAATCCGCCATCATCCTCTCAACTACCACCGGCCGCCGCTATTGCTTCGGCCATAAACTCCGATCGTCACACACACCAAAGCCGCCGACCAAATTATCCATCGACACAAGTTGGAATCGTGTTGGTAAACCTCATGTGTTCTGTCTTTTTTTGTTGTTGCGGGATTGTCATGAACTGAAGAGGAAATTGGAGTTTTTTAGTTCCAGTTTTGAGAAATGTAGAAGAAAGAAAGAGGAATCATTGAGAGAGGAAGTAATGCTAAGAGGTTAGCCTTTCACATTTTATTGCATATTTAATCTAATAATCAAATCAAACCCTAAAACAACAAATTAGAAAACCTAAAAAATCATAAAAAGAATTTTTAAAGGTTTTGGGTGCGACGGTTGTTTTACCGTCGTGAAATGAATTTTAGGACGGATAATTTTACCGTCGTGAAAGGTTTAAGGGTGCGACGGGTGCTTTACCGTCGTGATATGCCTTTTAGGACGGTTAATTTTACCGTCGTGACTAGTTGTTGGTGAAAAATCAATGTTAAAAGTGTTAAATGGGGGCCGACGGTTGTTTTACCGTCGTAATAATAATATTATGATGGTTAAATATACCGTCGCAAAATAAATATTAGGGACGATTGGTGTCAACTGTCGTAAACACTGTCTCTATATGTCAATTACGACAGTTATCACATAACTGTCGCAATTTTTGTGTCGTTAAACACTAATTTTCTTGTAGTGGATCTTTGGACAAAAGGGCGACCTCTAAAACATCCTATACTCAATGACCACGTTCGAGGCAACCAAGTGAGGCGTACCCTAAGAGTGACATGTGCGAGTGTGTCAATTTTCAGTTTATATTATCTTTGTAGATGTTATGGTGAGCTACGGTTGATTTAAAGGTTAATCTTGTCATGCAATCCTAGTTAGCATACATCTAAACAGTTAATATATGTACAAGAATTTAAAGTGCGGGAATTGTAAATCCTACGCTATTACAAAGATTCGGGGAGGGGGATTATTTACATGTCCAAAAATGGGGGGAATAAAAGCAGTAAAGTGTAAAAGTCTTAGTTAAGCTATTACAAACCAGTAGACAGTTATAATAAAATAAACGCGCACGAATCTGAAAATAACCTCTAATAATCCTAAGAATAAAATATTTTTGTTGTTTTATTTTATTTTTGGAAAATGATCTAAATCTACTTAATTTTAGTTTTGGAAAAATGTTAAGATAATTAAATGATTAATTGACAAAGTTAATTTAATAGAAAAAACTAGCCAAATGTTTTTGTGGTTTTTTCTTTTTTCTTTTAATGTTAATTAAAAAGATAAAAAGATGTCAATGAAAACAAAAATAAAATACAAGGGGGATCCTTCGATCCAGGGAAAAAAGGAGTTTAGAGCCAAGGAGGGAATGGAAGCTTCGATCCAAACAGGGTCATGGTTCTTTCGATTGGGCCAGGAAGTGGGCATGAACAACCTTCGATCCAGGGAAGGGGATTTCCCTTCGATCCTGGGAAAAATGCCTTCTTCGATCCAGGAGGACTATGGGAAGCTTCGATCCAGAGAAGGTGTCTCCTTCGATCTGGGATGCTATACCTACAAAAGTATGTTAGTAAAATAAAACTCAGGGCCTAGTAACGAACCCCAGGCCCTTCGATCTTGTGTGCGCTGAGTCTTTTCAGGCTAAATCTGCAGCAAATGTTAGCAAATGAAGAACATGACCTGGGGCCAAACCCAAGCCCTTGAATTCTGTCTAGGATGGCAAATTGAATGGGATAGAAAATATGGAGGTGTTATGCAAAATGAAATTTTTTGACAATTTACCCTCTCTTACCAGCAGATTGAATCTTCGATTTGGGTACTGGCTGGATGGGAGCACTTTCAATCTGGGATTTCTGGGCGTGGATACTTTTGTTGAAGGGTTGCTTTGGCCTGGATCACTTTTGAAAATGTTGACAACCTATGGTGGGTGTCTCCAAATCCTCCCTGTTTCTCCTTTTTTGTTCTGCTCTATTTTGTTTCTGCAGAGTTTTCTTTTCTTTACTATAATTTTTGTAATGTTTTTTGTTCCCTCCCCCTGGCACTATATGCTGGCCCTGTATTTATAGGAGTGTGGGGGTCTAGTAACGGCAAGAGACAACCATTTAACCAGGCCATTAAAGCCATGATACAAGAATCAGACACATTAAAATATTTCCTTTTTTGAAACATTCGTGTCCCTTGAATGAACTTGGACGCTTTTGACTTTCGAATGCCTTCAGGCCCTGCTCTTTGATTGGTCTTGATTTGAACATAATCACTCTGGTCGAATCATCTCTTTAGGAACAGAAAAGGCAAGAATATGGCCTTTAACTCAGGAATTAAATCCACAATCATCATTTAATTATTTCTATATTTACAAGGGAAACACGCCATTTTCTCATGTTCAGTGTACCTGGACATGTTTTTTGAGTGCCCTCTTGATGGCTTTGTTAACAGGCCAGTCGAAAGGCTTTGTTAACAGGCCAATCGAAAGGTGTTGTTCATGCTAATTGAAGGACATGATTAACATGCCTGTCGAAGCTGCCTTGGCACAATGCTAAATCGAAGGATCCCTTGGCATGCCAATTGAAATGCTTGGCCCAGGGTGCCAAACGAAAAGGTCTTTCAGAATTCCAATCGAAGGCCTTGACATAATGCTAAATCGAAGGATCCCTTGGCATGCCAATTGAAAGGCTTGGCCCAGGGTGCCAAACGAAAAGCTCATGCAGAATACCAGTCGAAGGGTCTTTCAGAATGCTAATCGAAGGCCTTGACATAATGCCAATCGAAGTGCTTGTCCATGCCAATCGAAAGGCTCCTTCAGAATACCAATCGAAGGGTCTTTCAGAATGCCAATCAAAATGCTTGTCCATGCCAATCGAAAGGCTCCTTCAGAATACCAATCGAAGGGTATTTCAGAATGCCCATCGAAATGCTTGTCCATAATGCCAATCGAAAGGCTCTTTCAGAATACCAATCGAAGGGTCTTTCAGAATGCCAATCGAAAGGGACTTAAAGCACCACTCAAAAATTTTCTTTTTCCTTAGGCAAGAGTTTGTGATCAACCATGTAGGGGGAAGACTTTGGAAAACATGAGAGGGCAAATTTTGGGGTACAACAGTTTCCCCTATTCAATTTTATTAAACCTGAGGATATAGATTGGCTTTTGAGCCTTTCGTGATCTGAAGGTGGAAGATAATTGTACACTAGAGTGCCCAGAAATTTGCACTCGCATGGTGTAATATCAGCATTGTGATGTCGGGAATGGGCTTACAGATGCCATTTGGAGAGATGATGGATAGTTGTTGGAGATGGGCTTAAAGATGCCATCCAGAAATGATTGTTGGACTGTATTTGAATGAGTGACAGAAGTACATCCGAATCTGGATCGTATCTGGACTGTTATTTGAAGGTCTCTGATTGCCTGTCATTAACTGGAAGAAATAAATCTAACCAGAGGAGGTCTTTAGTTGCTTGTTTTAACTGGAAGAAATAAATCTAACCAGAGAAGGTCTTTTCTGATAATGATGTGTGATGAAGGAATCTGAGACGATTGCTACTCCACACAGATGATGAAGGAATCTTGGATGATTACTACCTCAGCAGGATGATGAAGGATTCTTGGATGATTACTACCTCAACATGATGATGAAGGAATCTTGGATGATTACTACCTCAGCAGGATGATAAAGGAATCTTGGATGACTTCTACCTCAGCAGGATGATGAAGGAATCTTGGACGATTACTACCTCAGCAGGATGATGAAGGAATCTTGGATGACTTCTACCTCAGCAGGATGATGAAGGAATCTCGGATGATTACTACCTCAGCAGGATGGTAAAGGAATCTTGGATGATTACTACCTCAGCAGGATGATGACGGAATATTGGATGACTTCTACCTCAGCAGGATGATGAAGGATTCTTGGATGATTACTACCTCAGCAGGATGATGAAGGAATCTTGGACGATTTCTACCTCAGTAGGATGATGAAGGAATCTTGGACGATTACTACCTCAGAAGGATGATGAAGGAATCTTGGATGACTTCTACCTCAGCAGGATGATGAAGGAATCTCGGACGATTACTACCTCAGCAGGATGGTGAAGGAATCTTGGACGATTACTACCTCAGCAGGATGGTGAAGGAATCTTGGATGACTTCTACCTCAGCAGGATGGTGAAGGAATCTTGGACGATTACTACCTCAGCAGGATGATGAAGGAATCTTTAACGACTACTACCTCAGCAGGAATGGTGAAGGAATCTTGGACGATTACTACCTCAGCAGGAATGGTGAAGGAATCTTGGACGATTACTACCTCAACAGGATGATGAAGAAATCTTTAACGACTACTACCTCAGCAGGAATGGTGAAGGAATCTTGGACGATTACTACCTCAGCAGGAATGGTGAAGGAATCTTGGACGATTACTACCTCAGCAGGAATGGTGAAGGAATCTTGGACGATTACTACCTCAACGGGATGATGAAGGAATCTTTGACGACTGCTACTCCAAAAGGTAATGACTTTTATCTGTCGATCGATTTTCCTGAAAAGGTAATGAGTGAGTTGTATGCAATGTCATGATGTATGCATTGTGTAATGATGTTCTCAAAATAAATGAGATTTATGTTATATGTATTTTGTATGCATATGCTATGTAATTTTGTCTTGGAGAATAAATTCTTGACAAGTGTTGGGGAGTTATTAAATCTTGGACTGTTGTTGAAGAGTAGGTATGTCTTCAAACCTTGATTAGAATGTTTCCACTGAGGATCCTTGTTTTTTTAGGAGAACTCCGTTGGGGAAAGTTGTGAACTCTGTGGGGAGTATTGATTCATTCTTGGGGAACAAGTTCAGGAGTCTCGGTTGTCCGTTGCTCTACTGGGGAGTCAAAGTTAAACTGACATCTGGTCGGGTCCAGGTTTCACAGTAACTTGC